AGTGCGAGGACCCAGCCAGACACTGTCTTCACCCACTCAAACACTGTGGGGTTGAAGAAGCAGCTTTGATTAAACCACTCACAGGGCTCTCCCTGGGTACCTTCTTAAATGAAGAATGAGCAAAGACAAGCACTCCTAGGCCCTTCCACCCAACAAGTGCTCTGGATACCCACCCTGGAGTATGTGGGGTAGGTAGAAGGGAGAAGGTGGCACCAGCACAGACAACTGGACCAAGAAAATAGGGCTAAATGGAGAGGGGCTGCCAGGGGGTATTGGGATGAGTTAGGGAAATATGTAGGGGAGATACCAACCATAAAACTAGAGAAGGCTGGAGGGAAAAATACTCACCCTCCTCCTCTGAGTTTGCAATTTCATTCAGCACCCCAAAAAGGCCCAAATCACACCTGATGAGAAGGTGTGAGTCAGATTACTCTATTAACTCATTTAATCGTCCCAACAAGCTTGTACAATAGGTTCCATTTTACAGAGTGATTGAGTAACTTGCCCAAGATCACACAGCTAAACGTGGCACAGCCAGGATCTGGACTCAGGCAGTATGTATCCATTCCTACACAGGCAAAATGAATGACCTACCTATGAGATTATTCACTGCAACCTTATATCTAGCCTTGCTGAGCTTTAGGTCAAGGCTCAGAAAATGTTAAAGACATGAAGTGGGGACAGGAACACGTCCACATAATCAAACCAGAAAGCAAATTACTGGAGATGAAATGAAACTACTGTTGACTATTAAACTATAGCCTTGAGTTCCACAATAAGGACTGATAATTTGGTATGATGAATGATATATGGCTCTCAGCTAAAGAAAGCCTGGCAGCCCAAGGCAGAGACAGGGTGACCTCGTTTTCTCCAGTATCTACAGACCATGGTCCAGGGGACCCTTTGCCATGTCTTACCAAATATTGATGCATCTCTTCCACACTTGTTCACGGTGATGGATAAAGGCAGTTCTTGTGCCATGGTCCAGTCTCCCTGGGGTCTTTAGGGGATCCTTAGTCAGGTTTAGGACAGGAAGATTGATCCACTATAGCCCAGAAGTGAGAGGTATAACAGTGAGTCAGTCTCTTCCCCAGATCTCTGCTGAACTTCCTGCTATCTCCAACCCGTGGCTGTACTAAGGGTAAGAGGCTCCAAAGATCAGCTTCCCATTCCTATTAATTTAACACCTGGGGGAATGGGAAACAGGGCTTAGCTCCCCTACCTGTAAACTCGAGTATGTCACAGGGTTGCTGTGATTACATCTTACATTTGTGGAGAACACCTGACTCAGAGACTCTTACGTAGCAAACGCTCAATAAATGTCAGTTTCTCTTCCTTTTCCTTCCCAGAAACACCCCATTAAAAAAAACCAGGTTGTGCCTTCCCAGTTCTCCCAGATACTGTCCCTAACTTTTCAGTAGTTCTCCTGCACCGTCACATTCCCTAGATTCGCCGTCATTTTCTCCATTCTCTCTAGGCCCGCCTCACAGCCCCTCAACATCCGTCATCCTCCAACCCCAGCCTTAAAATACATTCCAGTCCATCTATGCTTCTCCAGCCTAGGCTAAGCTGTTTACAGTCCGCCACTCTGGGGACCGGGACCCCACCAAGCCGCCACTGCACCCCCATTCTCCCTGGTTCCGCCCCCATGCCTGTAGGTCCTCTCCCTCCTCGCCCTGGCCACCTGGCCCCGGAAGTCGGGAGGCGGACTCTCGTAGCTATTGCCTGTCACCAGCTCGTTATTGTGCTCGTAAAGGGTGACTTGACTTCTAGGCGGCGGTGGAGGGAACAACCCCAGGGAGCACATCTCGCCAGCCCTGAGGACGTCCGGAATCTGAAAACGCGCGGATCCTACTCTTTGGCTCTCAGTTCCCGGGCTAGATTCGGATGCCTACGGGTAGCCGCCTAGGACAAACGGCTATGCGAGGATCAGGGGCAGTAAAGGTATAAGAAACGAAGGACGCGCGCGCGGTCCCAGTACAGATTTCCGGGGCTTCCTTGAGCGCCGCTTGGCGGCCGGAGGGGGAGAGGCGCTTCCGGGCCCGCAGTACCAACCCGTAATTAATAAGGGTCAGAGGTGTCTTTTTTTTTTCACCCTGTGAGGCTGCTTTTTTTCCCAAGTTCCGAATTTCCCAACACAGTCTCCCACTCACTCAGCTCTTGTAAAGTCCAAAATAAGCCCGTTCAGGGAAGTACCAATTAAACCCTCCCAGGGCTGTAGATCGCCCAGAGGAAAATACAGACTGGCATGGGCAGCTGGCTGGAAAGCTGAGGGAAAAGCCTCTGAGGAGAGAAGTCAGAGGGGAGACCTCGTGAGGCAGAGTCCTTCGCCCGCCGGAACCTAGAGGCCACGGGGTGAGGCTTGGAAAAGAAAGTGAGAACAGCCAGCAAACGGTAATATTTCCTTGAGCACTGATTCTTTTAAGTGCTTGTATAATCTTTACAACAACTCCTTAAGGAAATTTAGGCGCAGAGAGAGATATTGGACCTAAAAATACCAAAACCAGCCATTCTGATTTAATAAAGATGAGATTGATCTTATTCTAACTCCAAAGAATGGGACTAGATCTGGAGTCTAATGCAGAATAAGGGATCCTCTTCTTGCAGTTGTGTGACTTTGAGTCACACAATCAAATCAATGATTTGAACCTGAGTTTCCTTGCTTGCAGGGTGTCCTAATTATTTCACATGGTTGTTTCCATACAATATGCCGATGAAGCCATCTAATAAATTGTGAAGTGCCAAACAGGTGTCAGAGACTATTAGCGCCATAACTCTGCCATGAACAAGGTGACCTTTGGGCATTGGTTTGTTCATTTAACAAATGTTAATGAGCAATTCCAAGACCATGCTCTGGGGACACAGAAATGTTAAGGCATAGTCCCCAGTCCCAGGAGGTGCCAGTCTCATTGGAGGATCTAGGGGGCATTTTAGTTTAGTATTCTTGGATTCCGTGTCTGCGCCTTCTTTGTACATGAAAAGATCCCCCGAAGAGAGTTACTCCTGTGTCAAAAAACAACGGTCTCCAGAAGGCTTCTCTGAAAATTCCCTTCACTCAGAGAAGGCCAAGGGTCTCCTCTAATCTACAATTTCTCAAATGTTAATGGACAGAGGACTCACTTGAGTATCTTGCTAAAATGCAGATCCTGGGGCAGAGCTCTGAAGCCTGTTTCCAAAAAACTCGCAGTGATACTGCACAGGCCACACTTTTAGTGGCCCTAGTTTAATTTGCTAGATTAGTTCACTGTCACCTGGAATGTCACAGAATGTTTAAAGAGCATAAAGTAAAAACTAGGGGTCGTTTGGAGGAACTCTTTTGGAGAAGTTTTCCTTGAGAAGGGGAAGCAGTACAGATTTGAAGAAAAAGAGGGAGTCCGTGACTCTGACAGATTAGTGGAGAGAATCCACCCCCGAAATTTTTGTTTGTCCTTCAATCATGACACCATCCAAAGCCAGGTACCCCGGAAAAATCACAACAGGCCCACTGCTGGGCCTGCAACTTCCACCTCCCTGAGATGAAGCCTGATTTTCACCAACAGGTTATGTTATAATTAGCGGTTAGTTGCCTGCCTCTTACCCAGTAATGTGAACTGGAGCGGGGAGCAGTTCTATGTATTCATACTCCGCCGCCACCTCCTCTATTCTGCTTATTAACGTTTGTTGAGTGGTTTTTACAATTCGCAGGCTCTCAGGAGGCCCAAGTCCAGGCCTAGCACACTACCCACTAACTTCACCAGGGGGCGCGGGGGTCCGGCGACACGACTGTGACCCACCGCCCCGGAGACTCAGAGCGCTTAGCGGGGGCTCTCCGCAGGTCCCTCCCTCTGACCTACGCGGGAGACCGAGCAGCTCCCAGGCCGCTGCCCGAGGGTTCTAAAAGGTGCCCCCCACTTCGCGACGCGAGAGGCATCTCTGGAGCCTGGGTGACTGGAGCTCGGCCCGCCACCCCTTCCCCGTCCCGCCAAAGCCCGGCGACCAGGCGCACATGGCCCGCCCGGCCCTGTTTGTCCTGGCAGAGCGCCGCCGCTATTTGAGGCGGTTTTTATCTTCCAGAAACCAGCAAAACCCCAAGCGGAGTCTAGGGAAGATGAAAGGGGCCGCGTGGCCAGGGAGGGGAGGACCTCGAGGCTGCGGCGGACGGGGGCTGGCACCGGACAGGCGGAGATGGGCAGGCGAGACGGCAAGGGCCTCGGGGGCCGAGGAGCCTGCCCAGCCCGGGGGTCCACTCCGGGCCGCCTCCTCCCCTCGAAGACCAGCTCCCAGGCGTCCCTTGCCCTCCTCCGCCCCAGCAGCCTCTCTTCCGCCGCTGCCGCCGGCCCACTGGAGAAGCCCTCAGGCCTCGGACTTCTTCAAAGCGCCTTTGAAGCCGCGGCACACCGCCGGAGGGCAGGAGATTTCGCACCTGGATGGGGTGGGCGAGGCAGCTGGGTGGGGAGGGGGTCAGCAACCCGAGCCTGCTGGCCGCCTCGGACTGGCTGCACCGCTCCCCCCAACTCCAGCGACTCTGCGGAGTCCGCGACGGGCACCTTGGACGGGGGCGCCGCCCGCAGCCGGACCCAGGCCGTGAGGAGCGCCTGGGCGCCCCCTCAGCCCAGCGGGAGAGCCCTAGGGGACGGGGGCCGCACAAAGCCCTATTGTGGCTGGGGCTTGGCCGCCACAGAGGGGCTTTTGTTCCGCCGCTAACTCCGTGGCAGGCACGACTGACTGCAGGCCAGGGGCAAAGGGCGGGTTACGTGCCAGGCCGGGTCCGCCCACCGGGAGCCGCCCCACTATGCGGCCGAGGCCGCGCAGTTGTGCACGCTGAGACCGCGGAGCTGGCCCTGGGGTGGGGTCACCGCCCTGGCCGGGGTCGGTTGGTGCCAGAGTCCGAGGAAGAGCCGGGGAAGAAACCTCTCCGCCATCCCAACTCTGCAGAGAGATCTGGGCAGCCAAAAACTGCAGTCCACCCGAGGGCCTGGTAGGCGAAGTATTCCACCTCAGGCATAACGTTGCATACGTGCACGATGGAATGCCCATGGGGAGTCCCGATTTCCGAGGAAAAATCCTGTGGCTCACTCTTCTCCCTTCCTCTTCGCCTTATCTCAACAGGACACAATTTAAACTCGAACTTTTATTTATTAAATTAAAAAAAAAAGGACTCCATGAGGGTATGATCCCATCCGCAATATTACCCTCTCCCCAAGCCCCAGCGGCTTTAACCCTTTAACTTGGGGCCTTGAGGGAGCAGGAGATAGAAAAGGAGGATCCAAAGTCACACGAAAGGCACGAAGAGGCTTTAAAAGTCACTGGAGGTGGAGCATCGGAAGTCCCAGGTTGGGGGCCTGTGGATGTACCCCCAAATCAGCTTGGGAACCTCTGTCCTCCTAGCTGTGTAAATTCTTTCTCATGGCTTCTAGGCACCAGCCTAGCACAGTGCCTTGCACAGAATAGGCACCCAATAAATATTTATTTGAATCTAATCCCAAAGAAAGCCTTCCCCACCTATTCTTCAGGATAGACACCTCCAAACCCATGTCCCCATGTTAGGTGGGCTTCCCCAAAGAGCATGCCTAAGATGGCAGTTGCAAGTTCTCTGTGATTATGGCAACAAGGGATTTGCCTGATGGGGGCATGGTGTCAGGGTTGGGGCAGTGGAAAAACCTGCTCTGGGGTCAGAGGAGCTGGGGTACATTCCAGTCCTCCCTTCCATAGGACTTGAGGTTTCACAGCTTCTGGCTGAGGCTGGAATATTAGGGATCACCAAACTGAGATTCCCAATCAACTCTTCAGCAGAGACCTAGCTAACCAACCCCATTAACAGAGATTCCGTTAAAAGAGAAACCCCCTTAACTGAGACCCTGATGATAGAAATTCTATGAACAAAATTGCCCTAACACTTTTTCTAAACAGAGATACATTTGGCAAAAATTTCTATAGCAGAAATGGACCTCCTTTCTCCCAAGCTCACCCTACCTGACCTGTCATCATAACTTATATAAATAGAATTATTATTATTACTACTCATTTCTCTTGGAACATGGGGTTAAATATACAGGCCTGGGGGCAGCCTCCCTGACCCTGGGGTCACCCCATCTTTGGGATCAGATCCCCACTGCTCTGCCCCCCTCTAGCACCCTGCTCCCTGCCAGGTCACTAACCCCAATTCTCCTAATTCTTGCCCCTAATGAAGAGGCCACCAGGGGGCAATAAATTATCATTATCATTATGATCATCATCATCGTGTTTGTAAAAAGGAAGAACGCTCTGGAGCATGGAAAGTAAGTTGGGAAAACGGGAGCCTGAAAGCTAAGGGATATGGTAAGTAAGCTTGGGAAGCAGAAAGGATGCATGTCAAGGAGTTAGTGAGATGGAGAAAGTGTTGGGAGCCCAAATGGAACGCAAGTAAAGCTGGTGGGGTAAGAACCAAGTAGCAGAGCTATGAGCAGGGACAACTTAGGAAGCCAGAGTGCAGAAATCAGGCACAAGGTGATGGCCTGAGATGAGAGTGTGGGGAATGGGCTCATGGCAAGGGGAGAAGATGAGCAAAGGGGGCATGCTGGGAGAAACCCAAGCTCAGAATGGCCAGGGAAGGGACGTAGAGAGCCCCCAAGAGGCAGCATGCATGGGCCAAAGGTAGTGAGGGGCAAGCAGTGGTCCACAGAGCCAGGAGAGACTGGCAGGGCAGCTCTGGGGCTGGAGACCCTCCACCCAGGTCATATCTCCAGCAGGTTGCTCTGCTCAGGGCTGCCTTCAGGGGCTTTCTCTGGGGGTGCTGGTGAGGCCGAAGGTCGCGGTGTCTGACTGGCCTCCTCTTCCCCTGTGCTGCGACCCTCCCCCAGCTCCTTGGGGCCACTGGGAGGGGGGCCCGGGCCCGGCTCGCCATGGGTACGTTGGTGCTTGCTCAGATGGTCGCTTCGGGTAAAGCGCTTGGAGCAGAGCAAGCAGGTGAACTTCTTCTCCCGGGTGTGAGTGCGCACGTGGCGCTCCAGCTCGTCTGAACGGGTGAACCTCTTGCCACAGAAGAGCCAGTTGCAAACGAAGGGCCTCTCTCCTGTGTGCCAGCGCAAGTGGGCCTTCAGGTGTGAGGCCTTGCCATACACCTTGCCGCAGCCAGGGATGTGGCAGCTGTGAATGGGCTTCTTCCGCAGCCCAGCTGCAGCTGCCCCCAAGCGCTCTAGCTCCTGGCAATTGGGGCAGTCACAGGAGGAGCGCCCTGCTCCACTGGCCCCATATCCACCACTGCCCCCAGTGCCTGCGCCCCGAGGGGGTTTGGCTCCACCACTCCCCTCCAGCTGCCCACTGTTGCTCACTGCCTTAGGTTTATAGACATCTTGGGGCAAGACATGCTGGGGCCCTTGCAAGAGGTGGGGAGCTGGATAGGGGGCTGGATTAAGGGGAGCAAAGTCAGATGGATAGGTGGGCAGCTGGGGGTTCAGTGGAGGCTGAGCAGGACCTGTGGGCAGTGTCCCTTGCAGCCCATCACCCTGACTCTGCCCACCACCTAGCCAGTTGCCCCCAGGGTGCATGTCCCACCAAGGAGTAGGAGTATTGCCTGGGCCTGGTGAGATGCCTGCATGGACGCCTGCTTTGTACCAGGAGCCGTAAGGGTGTGCCATATCCAGAGAGGTGTAGACACTGGGCAGGCAGTCAGAAGAGCTGTGCCCCTTGGGCACTAGTAGCCCAGGGTCCTGGGTGCCCGTGGGCCCAGGGAATGAGTGGGAAAAGGGAGGGTAGTCGTTGGCATAGCCGGAGGTGGGTGCTGGAGGACTGCCTGCAGGAGATAGGAGCCCATTGGTACTTGAAAAGGGGGTTGGGTAGGCATCCCCCATGGTTTTGGGGACTGAAAGGTCACTGCCCACAGAATATGGCTTCTTGGCGCCTGCTTTGCCCAGTGTCGTTGAGTCCCGCAGCGGGCTGGAGCCACCAAATTTGCTGCACGCTGCTGTCAGCATGGCCAGGGGACTGGAGCCATAGTGCGCTTCCTCCTGTGGAGAGAGGGAAGCACTGCTTAGGGGAGAGGAGAAGCACAAAAGGAGGGCATAGCCCCGGGACTGAGACCTAGAGAGAGGGGAAAACAAACAAAAGCCCTCAGGAAAAGAATTGTGGAGGATGGAGAATTAGAGGTGGTGGGGTCCCACCCAGGGCTTCGGAAGAATAGGAGATACTTTTTAAATAGCCTGGAGAAGAGCTGGGAAGAGACACAGTCCCTGGGTGAGGTGAGAACTGGGGACCAGGTGAGAACTGGGGACCCTGCCCCTGGAAGCCAGTTCAGGGCACAGGCCATGGTCAGGGACTTGGAGAGGAAAGATGAGGCTCAAAGAATAGCATGAGGAGAAGATAAAGTATTAGGGGACTGGAGTTGCTCCCATTCCAGGTTCTCAGCTTTACCCCATATTCCACTTCCGGCTTCAGCTCCTGACTAAGGCAGTGGTCTGGTCTCCCTGAGGCTGCATCCTAATGTTCCTGGTAAGGAATCTCTTGGCAGGGATTCTAGGGCTAGGGAGCAAGAGGAAGCGATGGTGGAGACACTGGGACATTGAAAGGGAACAGAGCTGCTGCCAAGCCAGGACTGTGGCTAAGGCAAGAATGTCTTTCAAGGAGGCAGTGAGCACCCCCTGATTTGTGGAGCCAGGTGGTACCCCTTTGGGAAGTCTAGAAGAGTCTAAAGTCCTCATGCCCTCTGGTGCAGGGAATTGGGGTGGCTAAGATACTGGCTCACAGCCACACCCCTCCATGTCCAGTATCCCTAACATGTAGCCCCTCCCCACCAAGTAGCCAGTTTTTCTACTTTTCCAGCACAGTGGGTGAAGGAAGATATGCAGATGAGGGGCATGGGGGTCTTTAGGAAAGGTAAAATGCCCTTGACGCTCATCATGCTGCCATTATCAAGCCAAGCCACCATGACATCACCATCACTGAGGAGCTCCTGGTACCCCTCCCTGGGCGATACCCTCCACAATCCTTGGCTGCATAGACAGGCATCCATTACTGAGAATACCTCTAAAAAAGATGCTCTCGAAAGCTGACCCTGTACACTTCCCTTGTTGGGGTCCTCAGTAGCCAATGTACCTGGTGCCTTCCTGGTAAAGTTGAAAAAGAACTCAAGAATCCAGGATTCCCAGACCTCCCTGATACCTCCCAGCATGCAAGTGTGTGTGACACCAATCCTGGAGGTGAGTCCAGGGTCTTAAGGTTGCAGTGAGGGGAGTGTGCAGCTACCACTCTGGTACTGCTCCCATAGGGCAAACCTGGTGCTCCCCCTGCTCTTTCTCTGGGTCCTGTTGACCCCATAGACTCCCATATTTGAGTCACCAAGAGCTTCCTCAAATTTGGCCATGGTGAAAGCCTGGGTCCTCCCCAGCCAAAGTTTCCCTGGAGTCCCCCTGATCTACCAAGTCGGGGGTAGGCTGAGGTGGGGTAGCTGATGGGGCAGGAGTCCAGTCCTGGTAGAAGGGAGAGGTAGAAACAGAGTGCGAAGGAGAGAAGCAGAGACACAGGACACGGGGAGCAGAAGACCCTGCTCAGGGTAAGGAACTGACAGAAAAGCCCCACAGGGGCTGGAAAAGGAGGAACAAAGGGGGGCCTCTGGCATTAAGGGGCAGAAAAGAGCAACTCAAAGAGCAGACAGGTGAAAAGAGAAAAGGGAGGGAGAGAAGAAAGCAGAATAAACAAAAAGAGGTGCTGGAAAGGGACTGGGAAGGAAGACAAAGGAAAACAGGAAAAGAGAAGGAAGGAGAGAGAAAAAGGGAGGAGGAAGAAGGCAGATTTCCTACCTAGGAGAAACCACCACGGTGCTGGGCCCCAGAAAACCCCCAGACCAGGCTGCTCCTCCCTCCTTCTCCCCCTGACCGCTTCTCCCCCTTTGCCCAGCCCTGCCCGGCTCCGTTGGTTTCCCTGCGGTCAGATTATTTTTAAAAACGCCGACGCCGTCCCCCCGCCAGGCCCTCACACTGTGGCCACAGGGGCCTCAGCCAAGCCCAGGGACCCCACCCAGCTGTGGGAAGGGAAGGAGGGGTGAAAAGAAGGCAAGCAGCCCCGACCCACCAAGAGACCCCGACCCTGGGGAATGGTGGCATTCACGGCCCTGAGGGCAGGGAAGGGGGAGCCAGGCTCCAGACCCACTCAGACATTTCTAGAGGCCAAGAGCTGGACACCTGGCTGAGCTCACCACAGCCTTAGTTTCCTTCTGTTGCTTGTGCCCTCCCAAAGACTGGAGAGAGGGTCCTGATGAGGGCTCTAAATATGTGCCCCCATGCTTGATCAAGTGTGTTACCTTTCCAGGGGCCCAGGAGTCCCACCTTCTCCTGTCTTCCTCCTGTCTCTACCCAACCCTCCGTTAAAAGACAAGGAAAACAGGTTTAAAGTACTGAAAAGGGGTCTCTGGAGAAAGAATAAGATAAGGAGCTGCTGTCCCAGCTCTCTCACCCTGATGTGCAGCCAGGCAAGGAATCCCCCTTTTCCAGGGAACTCAGTGTGAGCTGACCTCCACTGGACTGCTCACTGTACATCTGCAGACAGATCGGCCGTAGGTTCTGAGCACCCCCGACCCAAGGTCCCAGTTTCTAGTTCTATACCGTCAGCCTGCTCCTAAATTGGTTCTCCCCACTTCCAAGTCTCCATCCCACCTAGCCCCCTCTCCCATTTCTCCCTCTGGCCTGTTCCCCTGCATTTCACTCAGCCGAGGTGAGCCTCCAGCCAAGCAGCAGCTACTTTGTTCTCTGAACCCCCAAGGTCTCCCACCCACTCATCCCTCCAGTGCAGAGAGAGCCTCCTGGGGTGGGGGAAGGGGTGGTGAGGAGGGGAGAGGGAAGGGAGGTGCTCTGACCAAACAACAAGAGAAAGAGACAGAAGGGCTGGAATGCCTTTGTGCTGGGGACATCTCCAGCTCTCAGTGGGTGAGGGACATGAAAGCCCAGTTTCCTCAACACATTCCTCTTGCCAACTGCTCCCCCAATCCTGTATCTTTCCAGCAGGCCTCTAGGCCAGCCCCTCCCCCAGGCACCATGCTATGCCACGTTGGCAATTCTGGCCTGATGCCTACGCCCACTGACACTGTCCCTGCTTTGGGTGGACCTGGAATTTCTATGCACCTTGGTCCTCCAGCTTCCTCAAGACCAACCACAATGTTTCAATAATGGCTCAATATAAAGTCTAGTGGGGAGATGGCAGAGTGAGCGATCTGACCTCACTGCAGTGGCAGGTAGGTCACAGCACCTGGGCACCCTTGACTGGATATCAAGCAGTGACAAGGGGCCTGGTGGCCACCCCATTAGCTTGCATGCTGCTCCCTCAAACTCAGTCACAAACTCACTATTCCCAATCTTACACACACATACCATTCCTCCCTCGGACTAACAGATACTCAGACGGTGCGGCTGCTGCACACACACCTGAGCTCTCACAGAGCCAGCCTCACATGCAGGCAGGGGTGCTTTACATTCTAACACACTCAGGCCCAGAGCTCAGAAGCTGATTAACAGATGCCTGCTCCATTGCGCACATACCTCTCCTACAGGTTGAATGGGGTGGCTTCCTGTTTGGCCCATTACCCTTGGGACCTGACCTAGGGCACTGGGAGCAGAGATGGGGGTTTCTGAGGGGTCCAAAGATACAGAAAGTTCAAGGCTACTGAAAGGGGTTGACCTGAAGAGAGGGCTCTCTGGCCTCGAATTCCTGTGAAGGAACCCAGAATGCAAGACAGAGATGGTGACAGAGAAACAGACTCAGAAGCAGGAAGAACTTAGGACATTCAAACAGTCTCTGAATGGCCATGAGAACCCCCTTTCCACTTATTCACCTTGAGTCCCCAGAAACCCTGATTTCTCAAAAAAAAAACAGCGATTTCTCAAAACCCCACACCTGACCCCTCACGGTACCCCAGATTCTTCCATTCTCAGTGCCAGGGGCAAGGGATGCTGGGGTCTCAGTCTGGAGGGGAAGTGGCCCAGTCTTTCCTGGAGCCTCCCACTCCCAAAATAGAGCTGAGTTTGTCTTTGGCTGAAAGCTAAATATTTGTGAGCTGGGCAGGCGGCCTCAGACCCTGGCCCTCCTCCTCAGTTCCCTTGCAGGCCTGGACCCAGTTCCCCTGGTCAGCCCCCTCACATGCACAGGGCTGCCCTTCTCCCTTCTCTCGTAGTTCTTCTCCTCTCTTACACACACCAGTCCAGAGGTGCAGCCCCCTGCCTCCATACAAACCTGACAGAGCACTACTTAGGCTACGGGGCTCCAGGAGACCAGCCCCAAGGCGCCAGTGGCTGCTCTGTGCCTGCCCAACCCATCCTGGCTTTCTCTCTCCCTGCCTGCCGAGCTTATCTGTCTCCCACCCCTCTCTCCCCACTTCCCCTCCTCTTCCTCCTTTCTCCATCCCTTTCCCTTCCTCAGAGTTGGTGTGCCTTGGCTGACCTCTGGGTCCATGCCACCTCATCCCTGATCCTCTTCCTTTGACTGCCTTCTCACCCCGGTCCTGTTCTCTCCAAACCTTTCTCCCACCCTCTGCTCCCCATCCTCCGACCCACTCCTCTCTCCTCACCAGAGGGGACCCCTTGAAGTGACAAGCACCACAGGAACTGCCTGTGTGAGTTGGGAAGTGGGGGGCAGGTAGGGATTAGAACAGCTAGGATTGTGTCTGGTGTTCTGGAGGAGGAGCGGACAGTTACCTCAAGCAGGGAGGACGCCATCCTGAGGCTGGGGAACGGGTCCCAGGGAGCCAGGCAGATGGAGAGAGCCAGTGGAGCCGAGAGGGAGAGGGAGAGGGAGGGAGGGAGAATGGGAGAAAGGGAGAGAAGAGATCTAAAGTTAGAAGGGACTGGGGGTTGGGGGGTGGGGGGGCTGCTCTCTGTCTGTAGGGATCCACCCTCTAATTACAGCTTTCCCAGTGGGGAAGGCTCCGGATCCAATGAGCAGGGCGAGAGAGGGAGGCAGAGGGTCCAAATTTCCTGCTCCATTTGCTAAGCTCCCCAAAGAAGGGATCTGGGCGGGAGAGGAGAAACAGGGCTTCCAGAGAAAGGGTAGAAGCAGGAGGGGGTAGGGACATGGCAAGTTGTCAGGGCATCCCAGCGGGTGCTGACGGGAAGGATTGAAGGTATGGTGGGCCCAGGTGTCCCACACCCGGCCCCCAGCAATCCCACAGGCATCTGTGGGTAGCCCTCCCAGTGCTTCCCAGTACCATGTACCTGCGGTATCTGGGGCTAGGTGTCCTGGGTCTCCTTTCTGGCAGGGGGAGTGCAGGCAAGGGGTGGCCTGAGGGGCCTGGAAGGGCTCCACTGCTCTCCCGGCCAGCTCCTCTCCTGCTCCCACTCAGGCTCCAATCCTACCCTCCTGCGCTGACTCCGGAGTCCCAGCTGCTGCTCCTGTGGCTCCTGCTGCTGCTGCTGAGGCCGCGTGGCTGCCGCTGAGGAAAGGAACAGGAGGGAGAAGGAACAAACCCCAAACCACTAATTAGAGATCCAGGGGGGGATGGGGGACTGGGGACAACACTCACACAGAGAGACTGGAACACACTGACATACACACTCAGGGACATGCCCAGGACGATCCCAGCACACGTATACACACACAGTGCTGCCCACGCGGGCGCAACCACTGTCATGAATGAACACAGACAAAATTGCACACAAATGAGCACAGTGACATAGTTGGAGGCACACCCCCCACACACACCACAGCTAACCACAGAGATGCCTGCTACCCCAGTCACCCACCTCTAGATGAGGAGAGCAGTGTGTGAGTGTGTATGCATCTATGTGTGTGTGCTGCTGTGAGAGACAAGACGTGGGGTGTGGTCTGGGGTGGAGGCTTCAACTACCCAAAGTTTTAGGGTCACTGAGGCAGATCCTAAAGCAAGGCCTGGAGGGAGGGACAGAGAGTTGGGGAAGGGTTGGCACAGGTTGAAGAGTTCCCCAGTCTTCTTCCCAATGCCTCAGTTTCACTCCTGGAAAGTAAGCCCTAGGCCTACCTTACTTTGTGGAGCAGAACCTGGATCTTCTGATTTTGAGAAAACTTTAGGAGGGTGGGAGTTCAAGTGGAAGCAGGGTGGATATAAGGTCACTGAGTCAACTCATCCATGTCCAAGCCTAGCTTCTTTGGATTAAGCCTCCTAAAAGATATGACCTTGCCTCCATCATTCCTTGCCAGTTACCACCCCCAGGCCCCTCTTGGCCACACACCAAATCTCCACCCTTTGCTGGACCAATTATTCTCATGAGAGATCATGCTTTTCTGGGAGGTAGTTCCTGGTTCCCTTTCTCATTGCCATGCATCAGTTCCCTCTACAGCAGGAAGAATTGAAGTTAGAGCTTAGGCAGGACTTCCAACTTTGCCTTCTCAATCAAAAAGGGGACAAAGAGAAAGAAGGACAACACAGGTTAAGAGAGAAAAGCCCAAAATGTATATTAATTGAAACCTGGGTGCTGAGGTAAGTTTGTGGGAGGAAGAAGACTGGGCAGCCAAGTGGTGGGACCAGCATCATCCAGTGGAGGGGCTCTGCCAGCCAGGCTTGTTCTGCAAGTTATTCCCCAACATATCCCTCTCCCTGCTGCCAGCTCAGCCAGTTGGAGAGAAGGAGCCCTAGCCTTCCCACTCCCCAGTGCAGTCCTCTCACGTTCTCCTCCTAAGTATCACTTTCTTGCTCCTTTTGTAAGCCCAGCTCTCCAAAGGGAAGGTGAAGAGGTGGAGGGAGCAGATGGAGGTCCAGGGAGGGCTAATGTCAGTTTAACCAGCAGGCAGGATCCAAGTTCAGGGTAAGGACCAAGAGTTCTGGATTCCAGCCCCATGGTGTGAATTCCTCCCAAGGAACCCTGTGGGCCCAGCTTTTGGGGAAAGTGTTAGGGAACCAGGATGTCTGGCAGACGGAGAAAAAGAAGAAATACAGAAAGATTGAAAGACACACCAAACAAATGAAGCAATCCAAGAGAATTGGAAGAGATGCTATGAGATACAAGAGAGAACAGAAGACCAGGTGCATGGCTTTAAAAAACCAGAGAGCAAGAAAAAAATATAAAAGGAAAAGACACAGGCCCAGAGGAACAGAGATGAGGAGACAATGGCTTAGGGAGGACAGGACAGGACAGAGAAAATAGCCAGAGGCATAGCCAAGGCTGGAGGAGGCCGAGCGTTAAGTGGCCAGGCAGGTGGGGGTGGGGATGCAGTATAAATAGCGCATAATTGTGTCGGATGATTACACGGGCCACCCCACCCATCTGCCCAAGAGGAAGTTCCCGTGGTGGGGTGTCCTGGAGACCTCCCAGTCTCCCCCTGGTGGGGTGGACATTTGAGCCTGAGTTACCAGATGAATTTCTGGGGCCCCCCACTCAGAAGTTGGGAAGAGGGGAAGCTTTGAAGAAGTACTACACCACCAACAGAAAAGCCTGGCTGGTTAGATCAGGCAGGAAACAGGCAGAGGAGAAAAGTCTAGACTCCAGACTACAGAAGAGATGGCAGGTGAGAGAAGGGACTGGGGCTCAAACTAGGTTGGGAAAGAAAGGAAGAGACTGGAGGGGGTAAAAAAGAAAGGCTGAAAGGAGGTGCAGGGTTGGGGAGAGGAGATAGCAGCAGGGAAAGCAGCCTTTTCCACCTCCCTTGGGGGCCTTACTCCCTAATCCTATCTAGGAATGGGCGGGAGTGCTAGGGAAGGGAAAGGAAGAAGGGACCCCAAAGAGATGTGAGTCCAGGCCCCTGATGTGTCACGCTCAGTAGGATAGTGTGTAGACAGAGCCCCCTCCCAAAGGTCTGTGCCAAAGCCAGGCAGAGGCGCTGCCAGAAGCCCCCAGCTGCCTCCCTCAGGACCCTGGCTTCTGACTTCTCCCACATCCTTTTTAAAGAGAGTCCTACAGCCCAGCTGAGGCCCTGGTATTCCTGGGTCTAGACTCCCAACCCCCTTTCCAATGCCCCCAGGGACAGGGGGCAGCAACTGGGAGCCCCATCAAGGACCTGCCTCCACCCACACAGGCCTCCCTCAGCCCAGCCTCCCAGGGGGTGGGGCAGCCCAGGCAGAGGCGCCATGTGGCAGGGACGGCTAGAGACTGCGGCTCTGGTCCTTCCAGTATAAACCCCCTAGGCATCTGGTTTCTATCCACCACCCCCCACCACCCTGGGGGCCCCTTAGCCTCCTCCCATGGCCACCCAGACACTGAGCTCCAAGAGATAGACGCCCCTGAAGGAAGGGGTGGGATGGTGCCTTTCTGATCTCTCAACCCCAGGCTGGGTTGAACCACAGGACTGCGCCCTTCCCTCCCTCCCCTAGAAGAATCAGTGGAATTTCTAGGTTAGAGGAGGTTGAATCTGGAACCTGCTTCAGTGCTCTCTAAAGGTCTTGGATCTTTTTGAAAAGGTTGGGGGTGGGGAGAGGGAACGAAAACTGGGCAGAGTGGAAGACTTCTATCCCCCTACTCAGGGAGGCTGTCTCCTTCCACACCAACTGCCCTCTGCTGCCCTCCTATGCCGGGCTCCCACAACAGCCCTAATCCACCTTTGCTGCTATTACAGAAGGTCTAGCTACCCTGGAGAGAATCACCAGTGAATAGGAAACAGAAACCCCTGAAATACAGAGACTGACACATAGTTTAATACATACCTAATGAGTGACACACTCAGATACACACTTGCACACACACTGAATTATGAACATGTATTTCTCTACAGGCACCTACTTCAGTACATGGTGACATATACACATATACAAATGGATGATTACACCAAGAGACCAACCCTAATCCCTGATCACAAAAATGCACACACCAGTACACATATGTACAGACAGACTCATCACCTAGAATACCCATCACAGGGACTTACACATTCACATAAATGGCAAGTGTTGCATACATACGCACAGGCCTATCATTATGATTTTACACTTCCAGAGATCCCTGAGGTCTCCTACAGAGGCTTTAGGAACCCCTCTTCCTACAAGAATCTGGAGGTATGAGTGGTGTGAGGGTATTGCCAGGCCTACAAAGTGCTGCCTGTGACTCCTACTAGTGTAGGAACCTGCAGTGTGCCTTTGGGGGACTCATTGATCCTTTGCTCCCTGTATCCACCAGAGTTCAGAGACCCAGATGGCCCAACGAACTCCCTGGCCCTGGGGAACCCTGGCATCCCCAGCCCCACCCAGCCCCACCCTGCTCTGCGGCCTGCTGACTCATCTCTCCCTTTGTGGAGCTACCCAGCCACAGGGGCCTGGAAGAGCAGCTTGGAAAGTTGCACTCATGTCCCGGGCCCCTGGTCTGGCCACTACCCCCCATGCACTCAGGCCCAGCCCTTGTCTCCAGTGAGGACACCAGTGACAGAGAACACAGAGAAATAAGGCACCCAGAGACAGGGCAACAGAAAGACAAAGGGAGAGACATAGGATAAAACAGAGATGGTGGGGATACAGATAAGACTCTACAGGAGAGCTGCTAATCCAGTAGGGTCCTCCAAAAGCAGTAGGGCTGGAAACCAGGGAAACGTGCTCTTTGGCTGGTGTGGAGAGCCAGTGGTGGTCTTGGGATGCGGACATAGTGCCTTGACCCAGCATTCTGAGCCTGGGCTCAGGGAGCTTGGGGAAGAGGATCCAATTCTAGGAGGCAAAGCTGAGGACACATGAGGACTAAAATGGAGCTGTTAAAAGGTCAGCAACCTCTGTGTAGGACAGTTTGGAAAAGAAGCTCCCTACCCCAACACATACATATACACATTTACACATTACCTGCATACCTCAACTCACTCCCTCTCTGCTGAATCTCCCTCTCTTTTTCTCCAGCACCAGAGTTGCAACGCAGGACTCCCGTGCTAGCCCTGGCTCTCCTCTGCTCTGAGCCTCAGTTTCCTTAGTTGACTTTTTATATATATATGTATATATATATACACATATATTTGAAGTATAGTTGATATACAATTCCTTAGTTGACATGAGCAGTTTCAGGGGAGGCAGATCAGAATCAGAAAGGAAATACTAGGAGAAGGGGAGAAAGGAGCAAGGATGGCAGGCATTAAAGGAAAATGGAGGGAAAGGGAAGACTGAGGTCTAATCCTGGAACAAGGGAAGCTGATCTAGGTAGGTGGTGTCTCACAGGTCAGCATTGAATTAAGACTCTGGTCTTCTGGAGTAAATGCCTTTTTGTAAAAAAGATACCCTGGAATTTGATACATGAAGTATATTAGTGTCTTTAAACAAAGAGAACTTGGGGTTATGGGATGCTGATCACATCTTCAATTCTTAGGAATGAGCAACCCAAGGAAATGAGCTTTCAAAATCCTAGACACACATTCCCCCACCTTCCCTAACCTGCTCCAATTCTTCTTGGGGGGCACAGTTTTTAGATGTAGACTGGACCTGAAGAACATTCCTTTGTTCAGAAAAATGCTCAGCAAGTACCTATGTTGTGCCATGCACCAAGGGCTGGGCTCAGGCATGTAACTATGAGCAAGGCAGACCTGGCACCTTGCCTCACAAACCAGCAACTACCGTAGAGAGTAGGAAGTATCTTGAGAGAGTAAATACTGGATGTTACTGGAGACAAGAATAGCTCTAAGCCAGT